CTGGGTAATATAGATATAGGTATTAAGAGACCTAAAAGCGGGGAGGCCATGGCCTCCTTCGGCCCCTATGAGGGTCCGCCACTGTATCAGTATATAACTACACTGGTTACTTATCTCCTGCAAAATTTGTTAAACATTGAGAGGGTAAGCGGTGACGCTTAGTGAGTTCAATAATAGATACAATATAACGTTATGCCATATATATACTTCAATATGGCAGAAGCAAAGAGGAACAAGGAACAACAAAGGCATACGTGAATCATGTGACAAACTTTCCATACTTGATATACATCAATAAAGCTTTGGCCCAAATGACACAGAAGACATACAACTTCGGATTAACATTTTGGTAGATTTCAGGCTTATAACCCTGTCAAACCTTTTGCCAATACCATAGAATAGAAATCATTCTCTTACGGAGACATGTTCTACATGGCCAGAGGCTATATACCAGTACCAATATGAATCTAAGTCTTTTCACTGATCACATGGTCAAAGGTATTTCTTTTGCTATTAAAAAGAATAACGAATAAAAATAACACGGAAGATACTCCAGGAATATTATTTTGCTAGAATACTTAGGCTTTCAGCCTTATCTTAGAATACTACCGAAGCCAAAGTGATGCCTATGTCATATACTTCATGGTCAACGGTTCATACCAATACCCAAGTGATGCCTATGTCATACACTTCGTGGTCAGAGGTACAGTTTTGCTATAAAAATAACGGAAATAATAACACGAGATGATAACATGGAAAAGCACATAGCACATATAACACATAACATACAATTGTTCCTATATATTAAACTCACCTTGAAATAATCGGGGGTCAAAATAATAATTTGTGCAGCATTTCGGCTCTAAATATAACTTTATTTGTTGAAAACCGGGAGTTTTCTTGAAAACCGGACCCTGCGAGGGTTGGGCTTCGAAACCGAAAAGATAAATTTTTCGGGCTTCTCGGGAATTTCGGGGCGTGTTTCGGGTGCTATAGTTGATACCGGGGCTTCGGGGGATGACGAGATAGTAAAAATATTGAAAAGGGGTGAAAAAGTGCCAATTTCTAAAAATTACCCGGGCAATCTCGCATGCCTTCTATTTATAGGGGCGAGCTGCGAGGGTTCGGCCGAGAAGGAGGAGTCAGCGAGGCAAGTGGCATCAGCAGCGAAGGCCAGGTGGTGATCGCGGAGCGAAGCGGCTGGCTCGGATACACGACAGCTTCTGCGAGGGGCACGTGCGAGGCATCGGACTGATGGGGCCTTCTAAGTGGACGAACTTCGGTCCAATGGGGAAAGAGGGTGACGAATTCAGACCAATCAGCGGGTGCCACGCGAGGCTGCGGTCCAATCAGAAGACGCCACGTGGAGGCTGCATGCAAAGGATGACGTGGCAGCACTATTCATGCGAAATTTCTCGAAAAATGTGCCCAATCTTGTAAAATCCATAACTTTCTCATACAGGCTCCGTTTTTGACGTTCTTTATCTGCACGCGTAGGGAAAATTATGCTCTACAACTTTCGTTTAGACTTCGTCGGAAAATTTTGACTTTATTTTTATATTATTATTTTTAACAGACCGGGACTGGTAAATCCGTTAAAAATTCATAATTTCTTCATCCGACGTCCGTTTTCGTCAGACTTTTTACCGTTGTACTGCTAATGACGAGACCTTCGATTCTCGTTTAGGTTGTGTTGGCTAAAAATCACTCGATATAAAATTCGAGTTTTTAGCTGTCTACTGCTAAGCTGAAACTTAGAAAAATCATAACTTCCTCATACGAAGTCAGATTTTGGCGTTCTTTTTATCAAAATTCTCGGTTTAACGAATACTACGACTTTCATTTAGATCACTAAGGCTAAAAAGTAGTTTATCAAAAACTCACTTTTTACGTCATTCGGCACCGTGCCGGTTTTATCGCGGATCTTCGATTGGTCATAACTTCTTCGTTATAACTCGGATTTCGATGAGGTTTTCGCCTAAATGTTTCTAACGAGATTCTTTACAACTTTAAATAATAAAATTTTACTTATGTCAAATTTTATATTTTCGCTAAATTTCACTATTTGGCTATTAATTGGAATCTCATAAGACTTCCAATATTTTATGAGTGATTCTAAACATAGTTTTACTTCATTTCTAGTAAAAACGATCTGTTAGAGCTCAACACTCAATTTCACATAATATTTCATAATATTTTTAACTTTTCAAATTACATAACACGATTTCAAAACGTGTATGTTACACTCATCTATCAATTTTCTCAAATTCCATGTTTGAAAACACTAAGAGATACAATAACGATGATACCTGATCTCGCAAGGGGTTCGGTGTACGGTATGTGGATATGAATCTGTTTCCTCAACCACCGATCGATACCTAGTAAGAACCAAATCTCGTTTAAGATTCTTCTTATTTCAATTTTATTGAGAATTTGGGGGTGCATAGTTTCAGTTTGATGATCATGAATTAACCAAAAGGGTACTGAATCAAGAGAATAAGAATGAATACCTGGAATCTGTGCAATTCAAGGATTTGTATAATGCCATGTACAAACAACAACACCATCAAAAGCTTCATTGAGATGATGTTCTTCTTTTTCTTTTTTTTCTCTTTAATGATCTCACTTCCCTCTTCCAAAAGTCCCCAGCAGTTTTGAAGACCACCCGTTTTTCGATTTTGAGCACTGAAATTATCATCTCCGGCTGGAATCGCCGTATACTTTCCGATGACCATCAATTTTCTGAACTCTGTTCCAAGCATAACTAAAGTAAGGTTAGAGATGGGGATGTCTTGGACAAAGAGTGATGCAACCGTGGCGGTGATGGAAGAAGGATTATATACCGGAAGCTCCATGAGTCCTTGGATGACTGCGAACATGCAAACTCCACCCCTCCACAATATGTTCCCCTCAATCCCAATCTTGATACTTGCGTCACTCAATCCCAATAGCTTAGATTACAGGATGAAGGAGAAACAAAGCAACAACCATGGCCGAAGTTGCAGAATAAGGGAGAACCAGAGTAGCTGGTGACCGGAGTCGCACGAAGAGGGAGACACAAAGTAGCCGTAGATGGATCCGATCGCGTATGAGGGAAATCTTCGATGGGAATCACAGGCTTTTAGGCGTTCTTAGGGTTTATGATTTTAGATAATAAAAAATCAATAAATAAATAGAAAAATATCAAGCAAATAAAAAATAAATGAAAAAGAAATAAAAAAGGGCAATATAGTCATTTTATGTCTGTCAGTGACAGAACGTGCACATTTTAAACATATAAGGGACGGTCCGAGTTAATTTTAAAAATAAGGACCGAACGTGCATTTGAACACCTACACGAGGGACGATTCATGTAATTTACTCTTTTAATAAAGTCCTAAATTTTATTTTTTTGAATAAAAAAGTCCTCACATTTTCACATTTTGAATAAAAAAACCCAAGAAACCGGCTAATTTATTCATTTTAGCTCTTTTTTACCTGTTCAGCAGGTCATGGGACCAAATTGTTAATTTTTCGAAAATAATGGGACTTTTTTGCAGATTTCGTCAAAAAATTTATATAATGTATAAAATATTTTTTAAATATCTATATCTATTTTTACGTATTTGTGTATTTTTTATGTTTTTATATGTATATATTTACGTATTTTTATGTATTTTAAATGTATAAATGTATTTTTTTAAACTTATTTATATGTATTTTTAACAATTTTACATATTTTTTTTATGTTTTTTTATGTGTTTTTTATGTATTATGTATTTATATATAATTCTATGTATTTTTACGTATTTATGTATTTTTTAAAGCTTTTTATATAGATGTTTATGTATTTTAAATGTATAAATGTATTTTTTACGTATTTATATCTATTTTAAGTATTTTACATATTTTGTATGTATTACATATTTATGTATTTTTTAAGTGTTTTATATAGATGTTTTTGTATATTTATGTATTTTAAATGTATAGACGTATTGTTTTACGTATTTATATGTATTTTTTAAATATTTTACATAATTTTTTGTGTGTTTTTATGTGTTTTTTTCCTATATTATGTATTTATATGTATTTTTACATAGTTATGTATTTTTTTAGTTTTCTTATATAGATGTTTATGCATTTTTATGTATATTAAATGATTAATTGTATTATTTTTACGTGAATAAACATTTAATATACATAAAAATACATAAACATCTATATAAGAAACTAAAAATTAAATAAATACGCAAAAATATATATAATACATAATACATAAAAAAACCCATAAACACACAAAAATATGTAAAATACTTTAAAAAATACATATAAATACGTAAAATAATACGTTTATACATTTAAAATACATAAATATACAAAAACGTCTATATAAAAAACTTTTAAAAAAAAAATACATAAATACGTAATACATAAAAAATATGTAAAATACTTTTAAATAGATATAAATACGTAAAAATACATTTATACACCTAAAATACATAAACATCTATATAAAAAGCTTAAAAAATACATAAATACGTAAAAATATATAAAAATACATATAAATACATAATACATAAAAAATAACACATAAAAATACATAAAAAATATGTAAAATAGTTAAAAATACATATAAATAAGTAAAAAATTATGTTTATACATTTAAAATAAGTAAAAATACGTTAATATATACATATAAAAACATATAAAATACAAAAATACGTAAAAATAGATATAGATATGTAAAAAATATGTTTATACAAATACATTATATAAAATTTTTGACGAAATCTGCAAAAAAAATCCTATTATTTTCGAAAAATTAACAATTTGGTGTCATGACCTACTGAACAGGTCAAAAAGTGCTAAAGTGAATAAATTAGTCAGTTTCTTAGGCTTTTTTATTCAAAAGGTGAAAAAGTCAAGACTTTTTTATTCAAAAAATAAAATTTAGGACTTTATTAAAATTTTGCCCAAAATATTGGGATTTTTCTGGAGATATCACCCTAGTGAAATCCATCAAAGAAAGGATTTAAAACATGTTATAGAATGGAATCTGAAACTCTAACTCTTTTGGAATCCACAAGCCAAACAGTAACACGCCTTGGGTGTTGAAATTATCAAGCTTGTCATTTTCTGTTATTCATATGAATTAAAGTTACAAAACATATGATCTCTGGAACTCATCACAAAACATTAGCATATCATTCTGCAAGTAAAAAGTTGGTATGTATTTTCCTCTCCCCTATTTAGGCGGCAGCACCAATTGATGAACTCGGCCCCTGGATCTACAACCAACAAAATAAGACAGAATATTTTCAATGTTTAGAGTTTTTTTTGCTAACTTTTTTAAAACTCCAAAACATACCTTATTTACAAGAACGTTTACTTGCTCTCTATACATCTCTTTCAAGTCCACGATATCAGCCCGAAGCTCTTCAAGCTACAACAATAAATAAATTTTCAAAATATAACTCGTTATATATTTTTATGTTGAAAAAATAATAAATAAATAAAAACATGTACCTCCTCATCGCGTTCACCCATCAACTCCAGTGCAGCAGAGTGCCTGCGTCTCAATGCTTCTAGCTCTGCCTTCATTCCGGGCAGCTGAGACACCTCTGACCGTAATTTTTCACACTGCAAAAACATTCATACTCCATAATTGATTAATTTCAGGGCAGCTGTCTTAAAGTGAAAAAAAAAAAAAAAAAAAAAAAAAGACATACCTCTGCAGTCATTTTAACCAACTCTTCAGCGAGAGAGTCCCGAATGGATTCCATAGACGCCTAAAATTAAATAACAAATACCATCACCATTAAAGTTAATTAAAAAAAAAAGAAATATGTTTATTAAAGAAAAGATGTATACCAGTCTAGACATATAAGATGCAAGTTCACCCTCCTTTTGTCGAAGAGCAGCTTCAAATGCATTTGGTGTTTTACTCTTTAAATAATACGAACTCATTGTATTTGTATTTGTATTTGTATTTGTAGCCTCTCCAGGATTTCTCCTTTCTGATAAACTATCAGATGAGTCCAAAGACGCCTGTAGATAATGACTTTCCTCCATGCTACTCAAACTATTGGCACTTGAAACTCCACGCCTCAAACCTGCATATCCATAAATTAGAATCCAAATAACATAATAAAAGAAAAAAAAAAAAAGATTTGTAGATATTAAAGGCTGATTTACCATTCTCAAAATTCGAGTTTGTTCTGAGTATCGGATTTTGCTCAGCAAGGTGAGCTGCCTTTTCCAACTCCAAACGAGCAGCCTTTTCACGTTCTATATCCTGTAAATATTTTTTTATAAATAAAGGATGTATGAAATATGATAATAATAATAATAATAAAAGTAAAAGATTATTTTCAAATAACAATATAACATAAAATTACCTGCTGTAAAAGTTCACGGTGAGTCAATGCTTCCTGCAAATCTTCCTTATGTTTCCTTTTGAGTTCCTTTATTTCTTCTAGAAGCTGACTCACGTGACCTTCATGTGTATCCGCCTCCTCTTTTAGCGCCAAATAATCCTGCCGACTTTCTCCTGCTTTCTGTCTTTCCTTCTCAAGTGATCTCGTTAGCTGTGTTTGTTCAGTTCTCAAACATGAAATCTGAGCTTCTAGAACATTTATGCGAGACAAAGTTTGGGACAACCGTTCGCTCATAGAACGCTCTCTTTCTTCTGAAGCATCAGCTTTCGACTCCGCTTCCTGTTAATTTAAATATTAGCAAAAATTATATATATATATATATATATATATATATATATATATATATAATTTTATAACCTGAAGACGTGATGTTAGTGATCTCTCTACAGCACTCCAAGCTTCTGCCCTTCTAGAAGTTGTTTCCTGCATAACTTCAATCTGTCTCAAAAGAGGTCTAGTAGATTCTGGAACTTGTGTGATCAACTCTTCACATCGACGTTCACTCGCCTGTAGATTAAAAAAAACACAATTTAGAGATGAAAATTTCGTTTTATTTTATATAAAAGTTTGATGACACGTGGCAAACCTGGTATCGTTGTTGAAGGTCTTCAATGTCTCGTCTTAGCATATCTTCTTTAAAATCTGTTTGTTGCTCTTTTCTGCTTAAAGTTTGTCGTAATTCTTCTAGGGTTTGAATGAGCATTGTTTCACGTTCTTCTGATTCCTTTAATTTAGCCTCTAATTCGGATCTGGCTTCATTGTTTGCTTGTGCTTGTGCTATTGCTTCCGCTTCCTTGGCTAAATTCAATGCGTTTGTGTAGAATTCTTTTTGAGTTGAAAGTTCAAACTGGTTTTTCTCTATTGTTTCTTGGAGGAGATTCTCTGTCGCTAACTTGTCCCTCTTTAGACTCTCCACCTTGTTCTCTTCAACCTAAAAAGAAAAAAGTTTATAAAATCAATAACAATTTGAGGGAACTGTTAAGATTACTCACAGGAGTAAGAATGTAATTACCTGTAGCTTTGTTGTCAATCCCTTTTTCTCTTCTTCAAATTCTCTGATCTAGTGATCATAAAAAACAAAAATAAAAACTTTAAAATAACAATATGTGGAAACTATTGTAAAGTGACAGTTTTGGCTTATTTGATTTTATACCTGTGCGCGTAGTTTCCTGATTTGAGATTCTTGAGCTGCTTGTTTCTTTGAGAGTTCTTCGCCTAAATGAACAAAAAAGGAAAAAGATAAATGTTTTTATCATAGAGATTCTGATCTTGATTACGTGAGACTAAAATTTGTTAATCATTACCTTCTGCCATAACTTGAGTGATTATTTCATCTTTTTCCTTAAGAAGGGCAGCAGCATCACTTTTTTTATTTTGCTCTCTACGTAGGGTATCTCTTTCCCTTGTGAGAGCATAAACCTGCCAATATGAGGATTTTTGTCCATTATTAAGTGATATTTTAAATATTTTATCTTCATTAAAATGTTGTGAAAGAAAAAAATTTATGAGATAACAAGATTTAAAATGTATATGGACAGATTACCTTTCTTTCAAGAGTGGAGACCTTTTGATGATACTCTTCTCTTAGAGACTCGATTTCAGCTTCATTTGATTTTCTCTGTTTAATAGTGTGAAAATTTGAGACTAGAAAATTAAAGGGTAAATGGTAGGAAAGAGCAACGTATTTTACTCTTTTTACTGATATGGGCAATGTACTTTATTTTCTTACCCATAAAGTATTAAAGTACACTGTGTATATTGGTAACAAGAGTAAAGTATGCTGCTATTATTTGCATATTGCTCACAAGAAAATCAGAATTACAAAAAAGAATCTTAGTTTAACAAATTTCAGGCAGAATAAACTTACACCTACCATTTGATCCTCAAGCAGAGACTTCAGTTGCTCATTCTCGTTCATCAGTTTTTCAATTTCATCAGCTTTCGTCTTGGTAAGATGGATAATGAATGAATTAAACTTCAATAATATATTAAAAGAATTGTTTCTACAATTTCAAAAAAGCTAAAATTTGGGTACCTGAGCTTGTTTAGCAGCTCCTAAAAGTGCAGTTTCCATCAATTTCATCTCCCTCTTCACTTTCTCCAGCTCAACCACTGAATCTTCATTGCTTCCTGAAATCATCTGTTGTTCTTTTATGGCATCATTTGAAACCACCTCAGAAGCATCATCTGAAACTTGTACGCTCGCCACATCAGATGAGGCAGATTGAGCTTCATGCTGACGTGTCCCATTTCCAGTTTGCCCATCAGAAACTTCCCCTATACTCTCTTCTTCTTGTGTCTTTACTTCATCTTCAGTTTTCTGAAGATCAACAACTGTGTTCACCTCATTTGGGTCTGAGGAAGTACCTGCAACTTGATCTTCAGAATTGGTTGACTCAGCATGGTCAACATGGTCAACACCTGCTTCTGCTTGCAAATTATCACTCGTTTCACTTTCATCCTTGTCAATGGTAACTGCCTCTTCAGATTCTTCAACATCTGTTTCAACTGACTTTTCAGTCCTGCTGTTTGCTTCCTCTAAAAGTGGATTATTTGTTTCCAAGGGGGTGAGTCTGATGTTCTTCAGGCTTTGAAGTTTCAACATTTAATTGATCATCAGTTTCAGCCATTTCATTTTCCTGTGAAGAAGATGGATGATTTGAAGGTTCATTTTTTTCTAAAGGTTCAGGATTTTCTGAGGGCTTAGTATCATCATCCTCATCATCATCTTTTTGGCCCATAAATGACATTAAATCCGTAGACCATAAACCTGTAAACAGATATGATTGTAATCAAATAACAGAATTGGAATTTTGGAATTTCAGTAAGTTGCAGGAAGTGAACAAGTTACCTTGAGAGGTGGAAGAAGCGCCATCAGGATTCTCTTCAATCCCAAGGGCATTATCGAAATTCTTCTCAATAGTCTTAACACTCTCACTCAGCTTGTTTACAGCGCCAGCAAAATCCAAGTTTCCTAAATGAGACCTTCCCGCTAAACCAGGCCATCTCCTAATCTATAACTTAAATCTCTCCGATTCTTGAAACTATATAGATAAAATGCATCAAAAAACCCCACAAGTTAAACAAATTATTTGAACATCATCAGCATTGAATCCCACGGTGGTTAACAAAAGGCTCAATTTTAGGCATTTGCCGACACTGATCATACAGATCTAGATTTTTTTTATTCGGTGACTTAGATTGTGGATACGTACTCTGTTTAAATTCGTCAATGAATCTCTGCGGATTCGTAGTGAATCTTGAATGATTTGACGGACAAGCTGACGGTTGATTAAACTGGAAGACAACAGGTGTTCAGATCAGATGGGAAGAAACGAGGATGATTTAAAAAGAAATCAAGTGCGACAGAAATGCCCGTAGAAGGCGATGAACACAAACCTCAATGACCCGCAGATTTCGAGATTGGTTAGTGGAACGATGATTGTCACAAATTTCACGGATAAATTGACCCTATAAATGACACCAATAATCAAACATATAAATAATGTATCTAACAAGTCAAAAAAATTGCGGTAGTTGTGCAACACAAAAGCAAAAACAGTGGGAAATTCGAACATTTACGCAACCCAAATTGCTTAATTTCAAGATCTCTTTTATTTCAAAGAGAAAATGGTGGATTACCTCGACTTTAGAAACAGTTCATTCCTGAAGGGATGATGAACAATGTAGAAAAATGTATATGTAAGGAAAGAAAGCCGTGTGAATCTGAAACTGGAGTTAACGCAAGAACTTCCAATAAAAACACCCCAAAATGATTATCAGAAGATATATCAAGAAAATCGATAGAATATGATAATGATTAGAGGGGTGTCAAGAAATGGACCGATATCGTATGTTCTGTTAATAGTCTGCGCTGAAGCTCGATTTGTAAACAATGGAACTATGGAAGCACCTCTTCTCCGTGCTGGCATGTGACAGGGGTTTTGACCACAAAATACGGACTAAAGAAATTAAATTAAAAGCACAAACAGATATCAAATTGGGGATGTAGCTCAAATGGTAGAGCGCTCGCTTTGCATGCGAGAGGCACGGGGTTCGATCCCCCGCATCTCCATTTTATGACATAATTTTTCACGGACTTGTTTAAAGATGAATTTTTATTGATTTTTACATCTGGTTTTTTTCTTTTACATAAATAGATTTTAAGTATAATGGCCTACTAATCATTTCATATAATTTTTCACAGAATGAGCACGATGCGGTTAGGCTATGGGGAATAGTCACCACTAACCCACCGAAAAAGTGTTTTCATCTTTACGTCATGTCAGCTTCACCGCCAACCCACTAGACATAGGAAATGGTTACCACTCCACAAATTTTTTTTTTATTTTTTATTTTTTTATGATTAAATTAAATAAAAAAATAATTTAAAACATAATAAAATATTTTACATTAATTGAAACTGAAACTGAATGCCCTGGTGTTCTCCTTCCATGTCGACTGAGAGGAGGTGTATAAGGAAATTATTATTACTCCTAATATGTTTTATTTATTATGTAATTTGAGTTAATGTTCTTTTCTTGGCAATCAAGGGTATGTTTTTAGGTTTACTGACCATCGAGTTTTCCTGGAGCATGTGATGGTTGCACTTCGGAGGAAATGTAGTTGATCAGGCTACACTCACCCCTTACTACAACCATGAACAGTCCCGACCTAACCGAGATGTCAGTGTTATCTTGTTTGATTTGGTATTATGTTCTTTTTCCTATATCACACAAGTAAAGATGTTTTATCGTTGTGTTTTATTTGTTTTGTTCAGAGTTGTGTTAGTCCTTCTTTGGTTTATAGTTTCATATCAATGTGTGGTTAGATATGTCAGTTTACTATAAACAGAGCTCTGATACCAACCTGTCACACCCCCGAAACCAGACGGCGGAAACGTGTCGCGTGACTTAAATTGAATACCATCACAATGAATATACATGAATCATAACATAAACATCACCATGCATCAATACATTACAACTGATATAGTTTACATCCAGTACATTGTTTTAAACATTACACATTCATAATATAAATTGTTTCAGAGTTTTCAAAACGAAACATCCTAACATACTTGGTATTACCCTTCCGCTTACCTGTTACCTGAGAATACAAGTTATTTTGGAAAACGTCAACATATGAAATGTTGGTGAGTTCATAAGCGAAGTTGTGTTAAAAATGATTTGTGTAGTTTGTAAAACCCCCAGAAAATCCGATATTTTCTGAAAAGACAATAGTTTCAAAGTGTGAAGATCCATAAGTTGATGCATGAATGATTTCAAAAACATATATATATATATATATATATATATATATATATATATATATATATATATATATATATATATATATATATATATATATCTATAAAGGGTGTTTTGTATTATAGTTCAGAAATTTCGAGCGAGCGGTGTTGATTTCCCCGGAAAACCATGTTTTCCGATGTCGAAAGATATACGTGATTACTAATAATTATCCCGCCACAACGAATGGCTTTTGATTTACTCATCCTTGATTACTCGGATGGTTTGGATATTATCAAACCTAGTGAGTCGTTGTAACGATGTCCGGTGAAGACAGGTTATAACTACCAACTACGAACGACCCATAGAGGTGTCGTCTGTTGTTACTCACTTAATCCAAACCACCTTGATTACTGTTGAATAACGTCCTAAGTCCGTCTACTTTGATTACTCATAAGCCTTAGCAAACGAAGAGAAGAGGAGTACGAACTCCTGCTACTATCGTAAGTACCTTAGGCTGTCGGGGATGCGAAGGACACGTTGGCCCAACTCGCATTTGATTACTTTGACCTTACTAGCAATACTAATGGACCACTAGGGCCCAATAGCACATAAAAGCTATTGAAAGTCCTTTTATATGGAATTGGGTCATGGAAGGCCCAATAACATATAAGCGTTATCCCTTTGGGCCCAAAGATCATGTTAATGGACTTGCAAGGTCCAACAAGCATGATTTGAAACTTTCAAGCCCAAAGTTTGAATATCTACTCGTCTTAGGTATCGCATATCTATTGGAGGGTTCGATTTCACGGTTGTTGTTTTTGTATCGATTCGAGACCGATCGATTCGTTTATAACGATATTTGGAGTTAAACGTGTATTCGTCTTTCAGTTTTTCGTAAGTCGTGGTTTTGTATTTGACTCAATGAAATAATTTGCTTAAAATAGTGGTTTGACCTTTTAACACCTTTCTTTTTATAAAAAAATAGGTTTTGGTCCTTTATATAAAAGAAAATACATTTTTAGCCCTTAAAACATTTTCTTGACACTTTTGCATCATAGATTTATTGAAATGATAGTTTTAACTCAAGACTTTAGTTTGTTACAGTTTCTCAGCCCTTTCAAAATAGTATTTTCGGTTAGAACCCAACTTTTCGCAATTTTTACAGTTTTAGAGCCCAAAAATCCAAAAACTTTACATTTTTGATCCTTTTTGGAAATGAAAAGCATTTTCAATCCTTGAAATAGTTTTGTTACACTTTTTGTAACATCCCAAAATTCAGGTACAACCATTTAACCCTTCTACTTTTCCAAGTTGTCAAAGTTAGTCCCTAAAAAAAAGGAATTGGTAGCAAATGAGTACGCTGGGCGTACTCAAGGGTACGTTGCGCGTACTCATGCGCTTATTTTGGACGCGGACTCGCCTGAGTACGCTGGGCGTACTCAGGGTTACGCTGGGCGTAATGTTTCCAGGGGCAAACCCTAATTTGTGACTTGTGCCCTATATATTGGATGCTAAGGCTCATTTCTCAGCCTCCATAACAGTGAGTAAAACCCTAAGAGAGGACCTTTCATCGTTCTTGGTGAGTGTGTGTGATTTTGGAGCTAAAAGTGTCTTAGTGTGCTAGTGAAGAAGAAGGAGAGGAGCTTGTAGAGACTAGAGCTTGAAGTGCAAGTTTGGATCTGAGATCTACAGAGAAAGGAGCTGCATTTGGAGGTATAAAGTTCAAAACTTTCCTCTTCTTTTAGTTTGTTGCTTCATGGACCATTCTAGGGTTAAAAGTCCCAAAGGTGGAGACTTTATGAGTGTAATGTGCTCCATGGACCTAGATCTGTCCCATTTCTGTGGTGGTTGTGTTATAGATCCATAAAGTTTCCATCTTGGTCGTTGATATAAGGACATGCTAGAGTTTTGAGCTTTCTAGGGCTAGAAGTGGTATATGTTGGGAGCTAGTGACTTGTTCAGCCATGTAAAGGCTTAAAGTCATCGACTTTATGGATTAAGAGGCTTAGAAATGGTCAGATCTAAAAGTTGGACGTGAGTCTTAACTGTTTAAGACCTCAAGAGCTAAGGGAGTGAAACTGGGAGTTACGCTGGGCGTAATCCCAGTACGCGCATCGTAAGGGGTCTCGCACCCCGATTCTGTAAGGACGCCGGGTACGCGCAGCGTAACCCGGAGGGTTGACTTTTGTTGACTTTTAGGGTTTGGTCAACTTAAGAGCCTTTGAGCCGTGGGAGGGGTAAAATGGTCTTTTACCCTTCTGGGAATACTAAGAGGAAGAAAAGTATGTCCTGGAGCCATGGGACGAGATTGGATGAACAACTCGACGAGTAGACTTGGGGTACTCGGCGAGTTGGAGTCAACAGGGACTGTTGACCTTGACTGGGGACTTTGACTTGGACCAGGGGTTGACTAGTGGGGTTAAGGACTTATGAGTATATCGTGTTATGGTACCTATAGGTGGTGGAGTTCGTGTCGGACCCGAGAATTGAGCTTTCTTATTCCGACGACAGTTGCAAGGTGAGTTTCTCCTCACTATATCGACAGGGTCTAAGGCACCAATGCCGGCCCTTATTGAATTGGTATCCGGGTTATTGCATGTTATTGCACGTTGTGTGGATTGAGTTACATCCTGGTAGTTAGGATGACATTATGTTAGTGACCAGTTAGGTCGGTATCCTGGTTATAGGATGTTGCTATGATCTGTTAGATCGGTTGACTGTTTTATATGCTAGCGTATGATATGTAAGTGCAACATGTGTGCTTGTTTGGGGGTTTGGGGTTGAGGCGGTCCTGCCTGTGCTGAAGCCAACATACCCAGGGCGGTCCGGATAGACTAAAGACCCCGGAGGGTGTGATAGTCAGATCGAAGGCCCAGCGAGGTCCGGATAGCTGAGGCCCGCGAGGCGGTCCAGACATGCCGAAGGCTCGGAGAGCGGTCCAGATAGACTGAAGGCCTGCGAGGCGGTCCAGTCAGGCTGAAGGCTCATTATGCTTGCTGTTTTGGATATATGTTTATATGGCATGATTATGTGGGTGGTATTTTGGGGGTAACTCACTAAGCTTTCGGGCTTACAGTTTCAGTTTATTGTTTCAGGTACATCAGGGGATCGCGGCAAGGCGAAGGCATTATCGTACAGCTCCTCCTATTATGTTTGGTGTTTCTGGGAATACTCTGATATAAATGTATTTGAAAACAAAGTTGTAATGTTTTGATGAATTTGACATGTTTTGGAAAGTTTAAATTTGTTCAAAATTTTTGGGTGTTACACTTTTTATCCCCTGTTTTGAAGAAATTATCATTTCAATCACAGCCCCTTTAAATGTCATTTTCGCAATTTTGGGCTTATTGGTCGAAAAGCCCAAATTAGCCCATTAAGCTAAAAATTTACATTTCAAGTCCTTTGAACATTTAAATATTCAGAAACACAATTATTTTAACTGTTTTGATCTTTGACCCTTAAGAAACCCGTGATTTGGCAACCTTTAACCCCAATTTTGTATTTTTGACAATTAAAGCCCAAAATGGGTTTTATGTTGAAAATGTTTATCACAATCTTATAAGTTATTATTGTTTGACTGTGTTGGTGTAAAATAACTTAGATCATGTTTGTTTTCTTTCTCATGTCATAGATCTCGAGATATCATCCCTTTTGGTTACATGTTCATCACAAAACACATA